CCGCATCAAGCGCGGCCGTGGGATTGCCGGCGCGCTCTTCGTTTGTAGCAATCCCGGCTCCCGGCCGAACTGCGCATGCTCACACATGCGCAGTTCGGCTGCCTCACTTCCCTGTCAGTGGCTTCCCCCCGGCATCTGATCGTGCCGGGGAGGAACTGCGTGGCGGTTCAGGGGATCTATGTGATCCCGCCGCCGCGTGTCTCTTTTGGTGCGGCTTTAAAAAGCCGCACTTTGCCTGTGTTTCCCCCCGCCCCCACCGTGTGGCAGGGGCCTGAGTAGACAATCCTGAGTTCAGACATGTGCTCTGTCCATAAATGCTTATGAGGGGGGATATCAGGGAGGGGCCGTGGCTCATTGGCAGAGCATCTGCCTGACATGCAGAAGGTCCCAGGTTCAATCCCTGGCATCTCCAGTTCAGTTTAGTTTTATTATTACCGTCTTAAGACCAGCATACAACACTAATGGCATCTCCAGTTAAAAGTTGCCGGTTGAAAGGACCAGGCAGGTTGTGATGAGAAAGGTCTCCTCGTGAGACCCCGGAGAGCCGGTGCCAGCCTGCGTAGACAATACCGACTTTGATGGACCAATGATCCAATTCAGTAGAAGGCAGCTTCCTGTGTGTTTCTGTGTGCTTGGGGAGGGGCCGTGGCTCAGTGGTAGAGCCTAAGAACATAAGAACATAAGAGATGCCAATGTTGGATTAGGCCAAAGGCCCATCCAGTCCAACACTCTGTATCACACAGTGGCTAGAAATACCAGTGCCATCAGGAGGTCCACCAGTGGGGCCAGGACATTAGAAGCCCTCCCACTGTTGCCCCCCCACCCAAGCACCAAGATGACAGAGCATCACTTGCCCCAGAGTCCCTATCTATACCTTGTGGCTAAGAGCCACTGATGGACCTCTGCTCCATATGCTTATCTAATTCCCTTTTGAAGCCGTCCATGCTTGTAGCCGCCACCACTTCCTGTGGCAGTGAATTCCATGTGTGAATCACTCTTTGGGTGAAGAAGTACTTCCTTTTATCCGTTCTAACCCGACCGCTCAGCAATTTCATGGAGTGCCTCTGCTTGGCCTGCAGAAGGTCCCAGGTTCAGTCCCCGGCATCCCCAGTTAAAAAGGACCAGGCAGGCGGTGATGGGAAAGGCCTCCGCCTGAGACCCTGGAGAGCTGTAAAGAGGGGCCGTGGCTCAGCGGCAGAGCCTCTGCTTGGCATGCAGAAGGTCCCAGGTTCAGTCCCTGGCATCTCCAGATCTTGCAGTAGGCGATCTGAAAAACCTCTCCCCATGACTCTGGAGAGTTGCTGTCAGTCTGAATAGACAGCTGGGGAGTGGCTGTGGCTCACTCCTAGAGTATCTGCTTGGCATGCAGGAGGTCCCAGGTTCAATCCCCGGCATCTCCAGTTAAATGTGCCCATGGGTATGTGTTAGCAGAGGTGACCCAGGGTAGCAGAGATGAGGTGACCCGTCCGATTGCATAGAAGCAGGCAGATGAACAGAGGAGCATTTAAATTTGGTATTTATTTATTTAGAACGTTTTTTATGCCTCCTCTACAGGGAATCGGAGGCAGCTTGCAAAATAAAACATAATGAAGACATTAAACATTAATAAGTCATTTATTAACGTCCCCTCCCCAAGGGAGGAAGAAGCGTATCCGAAGAGGTGAGCCGTGACTCCCAAAAGCTCCTCCCCTGCCACATGTTTTGTTAGTCTTGGAGGTGCTCCTGGACTCTGGCTCTTTTCTCCTGCTACAGACAGACTCGCACGGCAGCGACCCATCTCGATCTCTCCTCCAGAGGAGGTGACGGGAGGAGAAAGGGTGGACTAGGAGGCTGGTCCTGCATTGGGCCGTGGGTTGGCCTAGGTGGTCTCTATGGCCCCTTCCAACTCTCTGTGATTCTAGGATCGTTGGTCCCTGTTTGTGCTGAAAAGGCGCAGTCTGGGGATCAGGCCAAGCTCGGTTTCATCCAGCACTCTCTCCTCGGTAGCAGGTAGCCAAAAGCACCCGGGCAGTCCTCCAGCTGGCCAAGGAATCCACAGCCCTCCCCTTACTCAGAGGTATACTGCTAGTTTGGTGTCGTGGGTTAAGTGTGCAGATGCTAATCTGGGAGAACCGGTTTCATTCCCCCACTCCTCCACTTGCACCTGGCTGGATGGCCTTGGGCAAGCCGTAGTTCTGATAAGAGCTGTCCTTGAAAAAGAGCCGTTTCTGTCAGAGCTCTCTCAGCCCCGCCTGCCTCCCAGGGTGTCTGTCTGTTGTGGGGAGGG